TGCATAGCGAGGTAGGTTGACAGTTGCACTGAAGATGTGCATGGCCAGGTAGGTTGACAGTTGCACCGAAGATGTGAATGGCCAAGTAGGTTGACAGTTGCACTGAAGATGTGCATGGCGAGGTAGGTTGACAGTTGCACTGAAGATGTGCATGGCCAGGTAGGTTGACAGTTGCACTGTAGATGTGAATGGCGAGGTAGGTTGACAGTTGCACTGAAGATGTGCATGGCGAGGCAGGTTGACAGTTGCACTGAAGATGTGCATGGCGAGGCAGGTTCACAGTTGCACTGAAGATGTGCATGGCGAGGCAGGTTGACAGTTGTCCTGAAGATGTGCATGGCGAGGTAGGTTGACAGTTGCACTGAAGATGTGCATGGCGAGGTAGGTTGACAGTTGTCCTGAAGATGTGCATGGCGAGGTAGGTTGACAGTTGCACTGAAGATGTGCATGGCGAGGTAGGTTGACAGTTGCACTGAAGATGTGCATGGCCAGGTAGGTTGACAGTTGCACTGAAGATGTGCATGGCCAGGTAGGTTGACAGTTGCACTGACTGCTGTTGTTTAGAGGTAGGTGGGCATTTATATTGCTGAATCATATTTCTTAAGGGAAAGAAGGTACAAATTCGAATATATTTCGGCCAAACAACATGTTCGTTAACAACAAACTCTAGACGTTTTACACGCACTTCAATAGTTTTCTGCCACTGACAATTCATCCAACAGTCTCTGCTGCCACACACGACACACATATAGAACCGATTTCTGATCCTGAGTTTCAATTACATTTCAACATAGTGAGTTAACTTGTTCAGTTATTTCTCCAAGCCAGTCACCCCCTTACGTAGAAGGTCAATTCCAGATCTGTCAACAAGCTCTCCACAGGTGCGACGAATGCTTGGTGCTCGTTAAGTCTCTGTACATGTCAGTGTCGGCCAAGGAGTTGTTTGAAAAACTGTCTCACAAGAGGCCAGATTTGATATATAAATTAGAAGGATTTGAAGATCGTGTGCAACATGAGAAATTACGTTGAAATTTGCCGCGAATCTATTCTTTGGTAGATTCGATAAATCGTTTCAATACGCCTGTATAACATTCTCTAATGTCTTAGTTTTCCCAAATTGTAGATAACCGCTGTAATGTATACTAGTGTTCTCTGTGTATCAAAACCTTTCTGGCTGAAATGGAATCTTGGTAACAGGACAGTTGGGGTGTTAGGCTTCACTTCATTCACGAACAGGAGTACATCATCATAAACATTCGACATGTTGATATTCACGAACAGGAGTACATCATCATAAACATTCGACATGTTGATATTCACGAACAGGAGTACATCATCATAAACATTCGACATGTTGATATTCACGAACAGGAGTACATCATCATAAACATTCGACATGTTGATATTCACGATAAAACTGTTTCCGCTGACTCGTGGGAGTGGTATTGTGTCGCCCGTAACTCACACAGCTTAATGCAATGTATTAGATTCAGGTTTTGAATGTCATTATTATAGTCTTTTGTGGTGCTGCTGGTGGGTCGACCAATGCTTGACTCGTGTATACTCTCACTTCCATACTGATGTCCCTACACCACAAACACAGGTCAATACATGTAAAATAACAGAAACATAGATTACCAGTTTCAAAACATCCTGACAGAACTTCAGTTATATATATGAGATCACTCGTATGCACCATATAAACTAGGTTTAGATTGCATAGCAACTGTACCCGGGTAAAGAAAATGTTATTCTGTTGTCTGTGCCTCTTTTCAACCCGTATGACAGAGATACAGTGTTGTGGTCCAGAGAGCACTTACCCTGGCAGGTGGCTTGGAATACCGCAGCATGTCTGCCCAGCACGTCTGGCATTCCTCGCTTGCACGTAGTTACCACGTACTTGGTCTTAAATAGCGAACAAAACTGAACACAGAAATCACTACACTGACTAAACGGGCCAAACAATTTAACGCCTTCAGTGTTCTGGTCGATTGTTTAACTAAAACCATTTGTCCAAGTCCACAGTGTGATGATGAGACCAGCAGGCGGAGCCACACATCCGATCATCGTGACTGCACAGATCCAAGTGAGGTGGCACTTACTGGCACATTAACTATTTATCAATATGTTAATTGTATAGAATTTCCTGGAATCATATGCTAACACCGACGAAATCTTTGAGTTCATAAATCGAATTACTGAAACTGGTAAAACCATACCGACAGTATTGGCTTCAGCTTGGCATCATGGTCCTCTCATATATTCTCCTTTTAAACGTCGAGCGGAGCTACCTTCGTGTCTTTGAAACTCGTACCTTTGAAAGTGTTTGAAAACATCATGTTATTTTGTGTTGACGGTATTCCGGAACATACCATGGTACTTCTCAAGCTTGTGTAACTCTTCCTGATTGGTAATGAAGTTTTGACACAGCTTGAAATCAATCATATAAGAAATTCAACATGCAAAGTATATACTTGATTAAAGATGGTCATGACCCTGTTGTTAAGATTAATACATGACGTACAGATTGTATTTTAGTTGACACTTCGACTGGTCACAGTGAGCACCCAAGGATATGATAAAAGCATGAAAATGATTATACGTGAAATGGTAACTAGATTCAGGCGGGTATGTGGATACTCACGACTTTGACCACATTTATATCATTCAATAAATAGTGAATACTTTTTATCAGAATAACTGGTATTCATGTCCATTTCTCGTGTTAGGAAGGCGGATTTTACAACAGCGAAAAGTCAGACTCTTCTGCACCATTGAGCAAGGTGCAGTACCTGGGTGAGATACGGTGTGTCAGAAAGTGAGATGCAAGGTATGTGTCCACATATATTACAAAGACTTACCTCATATCTTCAGAAAGACATGGGTATTTACAATATATATGTAACATTGCAACAGCCTGTACAAAGAGTTATAGCCAATACGTGTGTAGATCTGATTACAGAGCCTCAGATGACGTAGGCAGATTGTCAGTCTATGTTATATTAGACATAAAGTCTGATAGGTTTAGTAGTTGTCACGAGTATAGTTGACTGAGGGCTAAATATCTCAAATTTCAAACAGAGAGCAATGATTATGCTAAAATGTCATACGCATGTGGAAACATGATGTTTGTCAACGGAAATGTCAAGGATGTACCCGTTTCTCTTTCAAGATCGTCATATTTCATTTAAATAATCTTAGGCACGCCCGTTACACAACAAAACATTTTCGTATGAAAGTGGTCGGTATCAGCATCAAGACTATATACTAGTATGTCGATTGATTAAGATATTATAGCATATATAGACACAAGAAAGTTTGCAAATATCGGATATCAAAGATGACAACGTCCACCCTGCAAATGAACAAGTTTGTCATTTGGTAACTGTTTCAATGACAAGGCGATGAAGCGATCACAGTATGATGATTGAATGGGGTGTCAGTGTAACCAGCTCTGTATCGTGTCTCATAGTCAGACACCTAATATGTTGTTAGTGTTGGGTTGGTTAGGGACTCGTGCAAAGTTGTAGCCTGTTTACGTCTTGTATTGGCCAGTATCAGTCTGAGTGTAACAGAATTTAAAGAAAGTCCTTGGGCGTAATTATCTTGTGTTTCATTTCAAAATGACCGTCAGCCTTTGTGAATATCATGACAATGCTAGCATCCCAATGCACCTTTAAGAACAAACTGTACTGAAGCTCAGCTTATTGATGAGTTTGAGTACTTGTACTTGGGGCACAGTATCTGATCTGAGACAAACATGTAGGTCTTTGGATCGATCTCTGACAGGCATGCGGATCTATGGATTCATACACCCCACGCACGCACGCACGTTTCGTGTGTGACCCGTATACATTCCGGGTAAGAATGATAGTCCGCTGACAGCTTCTTCACATAATTCTTCACTTCATAATCTTGAAATACAAAACATTGTGATTCCTACAAACAATAATTTCTAAGAAACACATGAACTGACGAGCAAACAGCGGTACACAGCAAGTTCTAGTTTATTGAGGAGTACATTTTTCAACCATGTCAGTGTAGTAATCATGTGCACTCCGACATATGTGGAAAGGTAATATGTTTCAATTACAAGCATAATTGCATGCAAAAGATATGATACTTAAGGCACAAAATACTTAGAATGATATTTCGACAGAAAATGGAAAGCAAGCATCTGCATTTCTTTAATCCTTTCCAAACATTCTGATCACGCAACGAACTGGTGTATTTTCACCAGCGTGACCAGCGTGTCCCCTTCCACCCCAAAGTGCAGATGCTGTGAAACCATCTATTTCCACAGTTCTTTAGCATTCATATGTAGTAGCACACATGGATGAGTATGTACGTGGCAGTGTCCCGAAACTAATTCTAAATGTTGTTCAAAGGTATTCGCTGGTGTGATTATTTAAAAGTAAACATAGCTGTAAATGACATAGGCATACGTAAAAACCCAAATCCTATAATCCTTGATTTAATCGATTATAACGAAAACATCGTCTCAATTATTTACAAGTTCTAAGTAACTTTGTGTTTCATAAATAGTACATGGTATGTGAAACATGATATGTAACAGTTTCATGAATTATGTTACAATGTGCTTACATTCCTAATTTTTATGCCACCATCGCATCTATCGATCTTGCATTGAGGTATCAGTGACACCATAATATATATGTTTTTGTTTTCAACAACAAAATGAAATTTGAATTCACAGATATCAATCAATTTCATCTAGAATTTTTAAAAACGGTTTATGCATTTGTTTTACTTTTGAATAGGACATTTAAGAACATTAACTTACATACTGTTGCGTTGAGTTCCTGCTTTGGGAGATGGGTCACTTCCGGTTTTCTCTTTCGCAGCTGGCTATCCGTTTCTTTGTTTGAATTCTTAAATAGAAAAATAATATAGGAACGATAATACATTAATATTCAATCTTATGAATGTACGCTGCAACTCTCCCGTTATACATTTCCATTGAAAAGAATACAAACAAGCCAACCTAAACAGTGGGGCATTAGGAAGGGTAGATGCCCATCAGATGCCGTTATTTGAAAATATCCCCGGTAGTTCTTGTCTGATTGTAATAAAATATCTCAGCAGTGTAGGCTTTTCCAGATTTTCAAATGCTTGGATGGTATAGTCACTGGTCCAATTTGAGTTTTTACCTCGATATTTAATCATGTAAAAATAAGATGTCTACTAACTATGCTATGATATCAACAAACACACATTTGATATATTTGAATCCGTAAACTAAACAATCCAACTTTGCCACTGCTAAAAAAATCTGAGATTTTACTTAGGTACATAGGTATATACAGTTTTTAACTAAGTACACAGCAAATGCTTATATATATTTCTTATGCAGCAATGAAGTTCGATCCGTTCGTATCCTCAAAACAGTGTCGGCCCATAAGGTTTTTTTTCAGGCAATCAAACTTGCATGCAATACAGCGATTACTATTCTCTTGCTGTTACCCATGTTTGGTGGTAAACCTACACATGTTATTTGTCATCATTCACTTGGTCATTTAATGAATATATAATAGGTTATATTAGTGGTAACACCAGCGTACACCACTCAGATTACCCGACAAAGGTTCCCATTTAGCATTTCTTGTGTCTGGAGTAAATACTCACCATTATAACTTGAGGTCTGATGTGGCAAATGTATTACATCTTATGTAATATGCGCATGGAAGTGCAGCAAGAGGAATTATCAGCTGAGTTACAAAACAAACATCGATCAAAGATTAACCGATATATATGTGTATATAACGTTTTTCCACTTCACTCATGTACCACCGTTGGTGGAAGTTGAGAAATAAAAACCTTCGAACCTTCGATAACACGCTGATTGATTAATTGTTTTTATCCTGCACAGCGGATTTGTCAAAAGGTAGTGTTTATGTATGTATAGTTACTAATCTATACTGAATACACCCTGTCGTAGAGTACCTCTGTAAAAACAACGTCCTTCCTTCAAAGGATTAACCACCAATACACTGATTGATTGCTCATTATTAGCTGACTAAATTACTTTTTTAAAGGATGGCGGACATCATGCAATTAGCTGCCAAGTGTGCTCTCTTGGGTGACCAATGGGACTATACACCAATGTGAAAAACCTGAAACGATAGATCACTTTTTCGCATATACTCTAATATGCGAAAAAGTGATCTATCAAGTATCAAAGACACATGACATGGAACAGGATTCTTTCTCAGCTGCAGATATCGATGAATGACACCCCATTCCTTTATGTGGATATTGATGGACACATTCCCCGAACAAGGTAATAGCCTGATATTGTTGCTATAACTTTAGTCTCTTTTAATTTTAATATTTGCATTTTGTTTTTATTCATTTTCTATAGCATTCAACAGAATCATTTTTTTTGTCGTTAAGTGTAATGAGACAGACAACATACACTAGGTCCCACTCAGGGCGTGTGTGAAATATGATTCAGGTTGGCAATCTTTAAAATGTCTAGATAGTACAGTCATCTTATAAATTCAGTAAGTATAAGCAGATCGTGTGCATTTAATTAAGTTTCAAAATGCATACAAATATGCATAAACTAATTAGGATTACAAGACAAAATAAGAAGACGTATATTGACTTCGTTATTTCAGTCCTAACATTCTTTACCACTTGCAGATGGTTAAACTTCAAAATGTTTCCATTTGTTATGAAAATAATGACGATGGACATATTATCGAGTAAAAAAGATTTCATCTTTGTTGATCTGTCTATACTAAATCTTATACTATCAATTGCGCATGACGGTAGCCCAGCAGAGGTAACGAACCAGTGATGAATTCTAGGATATCATCCGGGTACTCACGGGAGAAAAACAATAACAAAAGCAACAACCAGTCCTCAGAAATTGCCCTGGATCAGTGCCTCTTTAAGGCCTTCGCTCGTCACGCTGAAGACCTGGGTTCGATTCCCCACACGGGTACAATGTGTGAAGCCCATTTCTGGTGTCACCCGCCGCGATATTGCTGGAATATTGCTAAAAGCGGTGTAAAACTAAACTCACTCACTCACTTTAGTCATGTGCACAACTTCATGCCAGTCCACCTTTTCTTCACCTCGCTATAGCCTCGTTCAGCTGAACCTTTGAGTGGATCCTGTGAAAACACAACAGTATCATAGGTCCCAGGTCTAAACATGCATACTTCTTAGAATTATACTTTTTGCATTTCATTAAAATTACATGGTATTATGAAACAGACACCATTTTTACTAATGAGAATATCAATACAAGCATATGACATAACAACATTTCAGAAAATCACACATACAGTAAGGATTCTTTAGCGGGAATCATTTAGAATACTTTAAGACAAAAGTTTCAGAATCGTATGACGTTCAATGAAATTATTCACAATGTCAGACTTGTTCATATCACAATGCACACCAAAGTATGAATCACACTTGATGATGAAGAGATAAAGGTGAGAACCAGTCACTCTTCGTGGTGGAATGTCAAACCAAGTGCAAATCTTAAAGGGTCACTTTACTTTTTCGTTTAAAGTGAAATTCATCGGTACGTTTTCACCGCAAACAGAATGTACAGTCCGTTTGAGACAAAATGATACCGATGAATTGCAATCTAACACAAAAACAAATAGACATAAAAGCATCAAACCAACGCGGACTGCAATAAAAACAACAGACCAACTCTAGAAAACAATAGCATAATTTGTGTCACAAAAATAAAATAGTTGTTAAGGAAACTGTCATCATTTATTTGTGCGTTTTCCCAGTTTGTTACAAGGGAGCATTGGCAACTAAAGGAACAGCGAGAAAAGCGAGATGCACGTGCGTTAACGGGTTCTCAACAAATTTTTGAGCTGCGAGATGACACGTACCCCAGCTGCACTGGCAGTGCGCTGTATGTACTTAGTTATTGCGTACTTGGGTCACCCCCTGTCATTTTCATCCTTGAAGAAATCATAGACTTTGTAAATTATAGACTTTCATTTTCTCTCACTTTGTCAATCAGCAGTAATCACATGTCTCTGACGTCACTAATGTTGGTCCGTTGTTTTATTGCACTCCGCGTTGGTTTGATTTTTTCAATGTCTATTTGTTTTTGTGTTAGGGACCGTTCACAATTTATGGCTGGGGGTGGGGTGTGTGTGTGTGTGTTGTGATGATTTTAAGGGGGTCACCCATGTTGTTCTGGGGAGCTGGGGGTAAAAGCAATTTTGTACATAAAATATGTTTAAAATTATGCTTAGCAATTATGGGAAGGGGAGTGGGGTCATTGATTTTGTACATGACACGCAGGGGGGTCACTTATTTTGTACATGAATTTTAGGGGGGTTAATTCGCATTGTACATGCTTCTACATAAAATTCATCATCAACACCCTAGCCATAAATTATGAACGGTCCCTCAGATTGCAATTCCTCGGTATCATTTTGTCTCAAACGGACTGTAAGTGTTTTCAGTGTAATATATTTATATGGATTAGGCCAAGGAATTGTCCTTTGGAACTGTTCGACACTTAGTTATCGGAGATCCCTCCCTACATTTCCCTTGATCCGCCATTGTGACACTGAGAAACACCCAAACAGAAGTGATGAACTAACACTGACCTCCGAGACAAGAATTTCCTGGATGCCCGTGTCTTCCATTTTCTCTTTGGGACGACACCCCGCTTTCTCTTCCCCCAACACAAAGTGATCAGTTCTCCGTCAGAGTTACAACAGGTATCCAAGCTGTGTACGATGTGCGGCAGGTTTACGACAGTTTCGGAAATGTATCCTATCTAACTTCAGATATCGTATGTTTGACGTTTCCTCCCATTCTTCAGCAGAGTGTGTGACAATGAAAGGACAGAAGAAAGGACTTCACTTTGACGATATATCTGTCTTCGTTGTTTTAAACCCAAAGGCAGGTTGGTTAAAACAGAGACCATATAATATTATATGGTCTCTGGTTAAAACAATTGTGATAGGAGTTCTAGCTATTGAGAATTAACTGTTTTAAATACCACGGTCTGTAGCTTTATAAAGGTCTTATAAGATTAGATCTCAGAAGATCAATGTGCATATTTCGTACGAATCATTTAGAAATTGAACCATACGACGAATGAACATGTGATAAGACAAAACACGTTTCTCATTGCACGTTGAGGCGAAATATGCTTGCATGACTGATATAAGGGAGGCAACTCCATGCTTATACGCCTTATTCGCCCCGCACTACTCCACAAAAACATTATACACATCTCATCCATTTTGAATTTAGCTTTTATAAAATTGGGTAGATATGATTGTCTTTTCTTTGCTGAAAGTCATTGCTAATCCCATCATACATCATTCTGTGAAATGTTTGCAACTGTGTTGAGAGTATGAATGAAATAAGGTTCGTTTTAAATGTTATTTTCTCTGGTCTTAAAGTAATAATTCGGTACATCAAATATTCTTCTGCATATATTTAACCTATATTAACTTGCACCTTTTTGGTTATTAGTAAATTTTGACCACCCGGTGCAAGCCGGACCGAACAGCTGAACGCACTGAGACAAATGGAATGGCCTCCTTAAGTTTCATGGGTATATGCGCTTAATGTCGTATGTCGTATATCATGTCACTATATTTTCGTCTATAGACAAGATCAGTTGAGTCGAACAGAGGGACATGAGTATGGCGATAGTTGGAAGTATTACATGTTTGAAATCCTATTTCGTTTGATGATTCCTCTTTTACATGTAACCTAGGACAGCAACGGTCATCGAACCCTTCGTTCTTCTATTATCCATCAATTTACTCGCAATGACTTAATTATGTTGCATGTTTGTCACTCTTTTATTTATGTCATGCATGTATCTGTTGTATATGGTGTGTCAATGTATATGACCGTCTTTGTCCGGCCCGCCCGGCTTGACTTTTATGCAAACCCGTCCTGTTATTCCTGCCCGTCGTCAATACAGGTATGTGTTGTGTTCATGTATGTGGTCCATTGCGTACCAGGTGAAACTGAGACGGCTGTAGAATTATTTTTAAACTCGAAGGTTAATCCTTATTTTTCATACACTGCAATCGCCAAACTACTATTGAATAGCATCCCCCCTCCCCCCAATCTTACTACGGGCCAACGGGCCACAGTTCACGCATCACTTGTTTACGATTGTTGTACTTAACGCTGGGAATACCCTTTGTCAAGACGAAGGAAATTGGCGTAAATCCTGGGCATGTCTTATTCAATGATGTCATCGGAACTTGACTACCTCAGCCACTAGAGAGTTACAAATAATAGTTGTAACATGCATTTAACGGCTGA